GTTACAATTTGCAGTAATTCTTGAAAGGTTTGTTTGTTTTGGAATTTCGCGCAAAGCTACACGAGGGCTATCTGCGCTAGCCGTCCCTAATTTAGCAGTGTAAGACTAGAGGGAAGACAGCTAGTCATCACCACCCACCGCCAACTCTTGGGCTACTCTTTTACCAACGAATAGTGGGATTGACCGTCACATTATAACGCTCCCACGGCTGAAAGGGCGAGCATGTTTGGTGGGATGCGGATTCGAACCCTCAGATTGTGAGTCGAGCGCCTTATCCACCAGGCCATGTTCTTGAAAGGAAAAAAGGATAATTTTGATTTATTTTGTTGTTTTTTTTTATTTGGTGGTTACGAGGCTGGTCAAACTGACTGAACTCCCATAAAATTAGGATTGTGAATATAGCAGATAAAATATGAAGATTATGGAAAAAAAGGTTGGAAATTTATTTCGGTGGTTTTAGAGCTTACAAAAAAAATAATTTTTAGCTAAAGAAAGGTATTTTTAATTGTAACATGAAAATCGCTTTACACTCGGAGCAGTGACTTCTTTGATTCCATATATTACAACATTAATTTTTTAACAAAAATACTTTATTAGAAATTCTGATTTTTTTGTACAAAAGATTATCATGTTTACTGAAAGCTTGCCAAATTTCGTGAAGATACATAAATCGTATCGTATCGGACGATGTATCGATACAGTCGTATCACGGCTTCACGATACGATACTCGTGTCGCTGTATCGCCACACACACCCCTTATTAAAACGATTTTGACTACACAAGTCATCAAGTCACGTAATACCCACAGCGTGTATAAAGTTGCGCTGAAACAAAATGTATCAGAACAATACATTGACATTGTTTGGCGTTACATAGGTAGTGTGATGTCACAGAAAAGTGATGGCTTTTGAAAATAGTATGTAACAGCCCTTTCCAACGCTAAACATACATACACTCAAAACATATAGACGTGTTCAGATTGGTGGTTTAGGATTTGAACTTTAAAATTTGAATTTAGAACTTAATGATGTTGGAAAACAAATAAATATGGATCAACTTGAGGCCCCCAGGACCATCCAAAAAGAGACCTAAAACAAATCGTACTCCAGCTATGACAAGTGAAATGAGGCGTCTTGTAATAAGTGATAATCCACGAACATAAAGGTCAGTTGTAAAAGCTGTCCACGTGTCCCACACAACATGATAAAGAAGGATCACCGTCTGGAAAGGCGACAGAAGTCAGGTGCACACAAATTATTTCCACGACATATTTGTTTAATCATCGCATACCCTGGAAAATGAAATCAGTATTCATGTCATTCTATGCAAAACCATACTGGTCAAGTCGCTAGACTTAGCATCTATGAATATCTGTGCGATAAAACTGTTGAAACGGGTGCTGGGAAACCATCGTCTTCTTACACTAGATGGCTCATGGAAACAGTAAGGAAGAGGAGCATGCTTTATACATGATAGCCTTACAACGGAGCCTTCTTCAAAGAAAACTACGCTGCAGGGCTATTAACAATATGCACAAACGTCAGATCGAGCATGAATGGACATGGCGATATCCAAAATCATTTTAATATAATGCACTCCACCTCTGTGTATGTGTAATTGTTGGTCTGAAGACATAATAAAACCTTATTTTTCTCATATCAGAATTTTAGAAACCACAGCTAATTAATAAAGAAAGATGTAAAAAAACAGCAAAACACAAACAGGCTTATAATTTTCGTCAAGAATAGACAACATTTGGAGAAGGAGTTTAATCTTTTATATAATGTTAATGTTTTATTAGGTACTACAAGTTTGAAAGGTAAATAATAAAGTTAAGACTTCAAATTACATAACAGCAAACAATGCAATAAGTTAACTTTAGATTTAACCATATTAATGCTTAGACAATGGGAAAAACTTCTTTCACTCAAAAATGTATATCATGAAAAAATTTAAATTAAACATAAATTTATCTTTAGAGGCATTTAAGAGTTGAATTGAAATACGATCACGTGACAGAGATAGTTCTCCATTCATTTAAGTACACATATTCTCTTGAGTAAAATAGATCAAAATAAAAGGCACAGATAATGAATCCCAAAACAATTACTTTTTTTTATCCTTGAATCAGTACATCATCCACGTGTCATACATACTTTTATTTATGCTGTTATCTTATTTAAGTTGAAAACGGTATTAACCACATAGTTCTTGTATTGTTTTTGCTACAAAAGTTTTGAAGGATCTATTTTGAGAGGCCTTAATTTCTAAATGCTTAATTCAAAATATAACTGAAAAACGTGTAACTTTTCAGAGATGACCTAAAGCGAGAAACATTTTTAAAATGTTGTCTCTTTCTAATATGTATATTTTTTTAAGAAGAGAGTTCTAAGTTATGTAAATAAAATTTAATATTCTTCAATTGTCCATTGAACCAGACATGTTTTCATAATTATATCTTTGTGTTAAGTAGTAAGACCTAAATACTTCGAAGTTGTCTGTCGCTATTAATGCATCAGGTCGTGCAGTGTTAACTAAAACTGATTCATTTCCGTTTCGAGAGATCAATACTTTGGTGCTCAGGGAACAGTTTCATCTAGACGTCACAAAATCAAAATGGAGGAGGACTTCTGTATCATCGGAAGTGTCAACAGTTGTTATTGTACGCATAAAATAAATGAATGGTTTGATTTTCTTCATTCTTTCCATAAGCATATTAAAATAATGTGAATAGTAAGTCAAAAAATGTTTTCATGGGTGATAAGAAAATGTGTATATAATAGACGTAATTTATAGTTTTTTTGGGGGCGAGTTAGGAGTTTAAACCAACTTACGTAGCCTAAGTAAATAGCACCCTCAGAACAATCACAAAAGTAACCTCTGAGAGTTCGCATTCTGAATCGCGAGTCTTTTTATATGTTTGTTAACTAATAAACAAATACACATATGAAAACGTCGATATTGTCCCTACAGTTCTTACGTAAGTGGTATTACGTAATTTCTGTGTTTTTGGGCTGTCTGGATGAAACTATTCCAGAGCAATAAGGTACTGATATTCGAAACGAAAGTGTTTTGGCATTAGTTAACAAGTTAACATTGCATGACTTTTGTCATTGATAAAGGCAATATCTCATAGTGACCAGACAATTTATAAGCCTTTTGGTCTCACTGTTTGACATTAGTACATACTTGATTTAATGGAGAATTAAAGAACATTCGATTTAATTTACACAACTATTGTAACTAACAATAGGTTGTGACATAAGTTTTTGTTACCCATAATAATTAATACCTAATACAATTGATGAAGGATGTATATTAAAAATTACTAATGGTGTGTAGTAAAATTGACAAAGAGCATATATTAGAGTTTACGCAAGGTTTATGCTAAAGTTGACAAAGGCCATTCGCGAAATCTGATAGAAGGCATTTATTATCTAAGCGATTATGGTAAATCTATGGGGATCATTATTTTTATTAGTAAAAGCATATAAACCCCTACGACAAACAATAAATGGCCCGGCATGGCCAGGTGGTTAAGGCACTCGACTCGCAATCTGTGGGTCGCAGGTTCGAATCCCCGTTCCACCAAACGTACTCGCCCTTTCATCCGTGGAGGCGTTATAATGTGACAGTCAATCCCACTATTCGATGGTAAAAGAGTAGCTCAAGAGTTGGCGGTGATTACTAGCTGCCTTCCCTCTAGTTTTACACTGCTAAATTAGGGATGGCTAGCGCAGATAGCCCTCGTGTAGCTTTGCGCGAAATTCAAAAACAAACAATAAAAAGAAAGATGATATTTACGCTATATTTTACGCATTTCAAAAAAAAATAAAATCGGTATAGAAAACATAATCTCTGCCATATCTATAATAAACAATACACGATAGAATTTTTCTGACATTTCATCTATAATAAAAGTAATATTTTACAAAGCTAAAAATTTTGTAACAGACTCAAAAATTTCTAAGGAACTTCCCGCATTCTACTTAGTTATATATATTTTAATTTACTTGTCGTTATCTCGTTTCACAGACATAAGTATGAGATGAAACACACTTATGCTCCCATGAGTATATTTCCAAGATTTGGTTTTGTATGATGATAAAATATAGAAATATCATTACTGATATTTGAAAAATATGTCCATAAAAATGTATGTCAGAAAAGCCTCACATGATGCGTAAAATATTATTGAAAAATGATTAAACAACGCAAGAGATAAAAACTATTGTTTATATTCAATTCTAAATATCTTAACAGATTTTAGCTCAAATCAGGCAGTTTTCGATCCTCTATTTGCCCGAATCAGTGGTTTAGTATTTATGCTACTATTCGTGTTGTTACCATGGAGACAAGTCCTCATCTTGTCGGTTATGTACCTAATATATAACGATATATATATTCTTTCTTTTTTTTTTTAAGAAGTGAACGAGTAATTTATTGCAGTGTAAAAGTAAGAAGCAGACGAAATAAAATGCGGAAAAATATAGTTCTGCCTAGGCTTAAGAATTTTTTTCTGGAGTCTTTATAATTGAATAGTTCCAGTAATAAAATGAAAAATAATGTAAAGAAGCTGCTTTATTCCATTTCATGTGAATCTTCTCAACGTATCTACACCTTAAAGTTAGACAACAGAACCTCTTTGTAGCGTATATTTACATATTCATGACTATTATTGTTTGAGTCAATTATATGCGCGGAATATTCTACGATAAACATTTTTTGCAGCTAACGACTGTAGGTGTCACTGCCATTTTAGATAAATTTAAAACGAAGTTCGTGCCAATAAATATATTTTGTGAAACGTAATTACAAACTAACCCCCACCCCAGATCTCTATGTTTATCCTACATAATGTAATGTTATACACAAATGAAATGAAATGCTCTAATCTGGAGGTTTCATATATTCATAGATAAGCTTTAGGCTTAATTCGCCAAAACCTGCTGAAAAAGTAAATAAGAAAGAAAGCGAAAACTTGAATTATTAGCCTTACCTGGCATCGGCTTCACTGTAATATTCTCTTGCCACAATGTCCTCAAACAGCTCTCCCCCTGTTACACTAAAAAACAACACAAAAACGGTATCTGGTCAATACTGAGTTATGATATAGCGATTGAAATTATTAAAAACTTTGAACTTTTATTATGATTATTTTACTATAATGGATGAACATCATTTTGCTCATCTATGAACAATAACTTATACATAAGTATACTAAAAAAGCATTGAATGAGACATCGCTCGATAGAACTCGTATCTTCTAATTGTCATGAAAAAATTAATCTTCAAAAGTTTTGCCTAGTTTAGTTATAGTATCTGTTTGAATAGGTTTCGCCTTCCTATTGCTGAGGGCAGGAGGTGGGCCAACTGTTAGCATATCTAGTTGCGGATCGAACTGTCCTAAGTTTGAAACGTGATGCCACTGAATACTTTCCGAACATTCAGCCCTGGACTGGTAGTTAATGTGTCAGAAAAGACTTTGCGACAACGGGATCTACTAGCTTGTACTCTCTAGTCAGTAGTTCAAAATCAAGGAAGGCTATACTTAAACCTTACGAGTTTCAAGTTGAAGAATTCACACTCCAATTCCCAACATATTAACGATTTCGAACCGCCAAGTTAGAAGCCCAGTCCTTCTTTCCATAGAACTAGTATATAGACAAATTGACCAAATCCATGTGACGTCATATAGAAACAATCCTTGACATACAAACACAGGTAGAGCTACTTAAAAACCCACGGACCACAAACAACTATGTCCTGAACGAAATGATCGCATTAATTAACCGTATTTTCACGAGGTTGCATAACTGGATGATCGAAGGACGGTCAAAGTCAGCGAGGAGCCTCCGGGTCACTTTAATGATCACTGTCCACAGGGTAACAAATACAGTTACATTACATCCGAAAACAACAGCTTCTGGACAAATTGGTCGTCAAAACCAACAGAACGTGTTCTACGTGCAGGAAGATCCATATTAAATAACCGCTATAGCTGCTTGACAGGTGTGTGCGAATGTGTGCTGATACCAACCAGCAGTTATTTTTATACCATGAGCTACTGTGACAAACTAGTTAGACGAATATCACTCCTCGTTCGGGTAATATTGTGCATCCACACCAACGGGATGCTGGATATACTGGTGGTATGCGAAGGAACGGTCAGTGTTCTTCGATATATCACAAATCTCAAGCAAGACCTTCTACTTGTCTACGCTAATGACCAACTTACAAGAAAAAAACATTGTTTTCAAGCAAGATAGGTTCCTGCTCATTCATAAAATGGTGGCTTGAAGTCCAGGGCATTACCACTTTTGGGTGGTCAGGCCAATAGCCTGATGTGAACATGCGTAACCCATTCTTGACCGTTCCATGAGAAAACATCCAAAACATGCAACTTCTATGGATATTCTCGTTTAAATTCTTCACCAGGAATGAGATACAAATTCACAGGCCCAGAATGGTAATCTTGTACCTTTTGTTTCATGTTTGTTAATTTAATAAAACGACATTTTTGTGGAATGAGTGCTTATTTACTTACTTATAGGTTGTAAAGTTATATATAAAAGACTGATAGTGTTTTGCTTTGAAACTTTACACAAAACCACACCAAGAATATTTGGGTTAACCGTTTCTAATGTAGAAATGATGAATTAGATAGTAGGTAGGTAGTCAACAGCACCCAACGCCAATCCTTGGGCTACTCTAATCGAATACTCACATTTGACTGTCACTTTAATAATGCATACACAGCCCCAAAGTGCGAAGCGCGTTTTTGAGGCAACTGAATGCAAATACCGATATGTTAGAAGCAAATTAATTTTTCTTGATAAAATATACAAGCTTTATCCACCTGTTTCATCAAGATATATTTATTAAATAGTGATGAAATATAACATATTCATGTCGATCATATGATTTCCTACCTAACTTACGTTATTTAAGCATGAAAAAAAAATGTAATACTTTTTGCACCCCAAGTGGCTCAGCGACACGTTTGAAGACTTATAGCGCTAAAAACCAGGTTCCTATACCTGTGGTGGGCACAAAACAGGAAGCCCAATTGTGTAGTTTGTGCTTAATAAAAACGATTGAATAATACTTTTAACATTGTCTCACAGTATCTTACTATGTCAATGTAACATCCGTATTTCTTGATTATTTTATGTAATTGTGTGCTAAGCGTTCGAATTCTAAACTATTGATAATAATAATAATTAATTATAACGTTTCGAGATATATATAGCGGACTGAGAAGGACTTGAAATGGCGGTAAAGTTATGGTCAACGTCTCTCGACTGAAAATTCCTCCAAGCGAAATAACGCATGTTTGATGGTAATAAAATAAAAGTGTTTCTTTCTTCTTTTTTTTTCCCAATGAAATTATATAGCGAGTTAAGACTTCTCTCAAAAAATTGTTATCATAGTCGATGAAGAAACGCCGGTTAACTATACGTAGGCAATTTTCCAACTCCAATGATGAATGGATGTTAGAACTAATAAAATCAACATTCTTTACCTTCTGGTGAAAAATCGCGTTGTAAACAGCTTCAGGATGCTTAGGTAGGGATTCACAAAATGGGTTGAAATTGAAGAAGGAAGGCCAACTTTGAAAACAGAAGGTCTTCACAACTCACAGATTAAGATAAAACGGTCCCCGTTAGATTACGTTAAACTATGAGACAACATCTTCCACCGAAATTCAAAATATGTGGCTATAAATCATAAAGAACAGGCGCATTTGGTACTACAGAAACACTTCAAATAGAAAAGATGTTAAATGATTACTTTTGAAAAAATATATTTTACTAAGTTGAATGTTGTTAATTAGGGTAAGGGTGGTTCTGATACAAGCAAAAGTTCCATAATAGTCTTTACAGAACTCTCCGAGAAAGGAAGAGATCCCAAAAAAATGATGATATGATTAAAAATCAAAGTGTTGAAGCGCAGTTAAATGAGATGTTATTGATGTTCGGGTTCATTACTACGTGTATTTTAATGATGAAATCAATACATTACACTATTAATATTCAATTTTTACAAATGGTATTAAATGTTGTCGTTTTCTCTAGAAGTTAAAATTTTAACTGGCATATCAGCTAGTCATATATTATCAAGTATAGAATTTTGTGTCTTGTCATATATGTAACCTATTGAGGTTTAAGAAAACAAGATAATTAGAAAAAATGACATAAAAAGAAATGTATTCGTTGAACTAGCTTGAACTACGTGAGGACGAGAAACTGACAATTTAGCACAAAAAACTGCTCTTCTGTTAGTGAGCTATAGAACTACACTACAATAAATTAAACGATGGGTTACACTTTTCCATGTTGGGTCAAGAACTGACGGGGCTGATGGACTTCTGTTGTCATCCTGTAGATGGTAACGAAT